GGGTGCGGGAGCTCCGGCTATCCGATGTGGTAGGCTGGATGTCGGCCAGGACGGAAGGTTGAGGGAGCTCCGGGTATCGGATGTGGGTAGGATGATGTTCGGGCAGGACGGAGGGTGCCGGGAGCTCCGGGTATCGGATGTGGGTAGGATGGATGTCGGGCAGGACGGAGGGTGCGGGAGCTCCGGGTATCGGATGTGGGTAGGATGGATGTCGGGCAGGACGGCGGGTGCCGGAGCTCCGGGTATCGGATGTGGGTAGGATGGATGTCGGGCAGGACAGAGGGTGCGGGAGCTCCGGGTATCGGATGTGGGTAGGATGGATGTCGGGCAGGACAGAGGGTGCGGGAGCTCCGGGTATCGGATGTGGGTAGGATGGATGTCGGGCAGGACAGAGGGTGCGGGAGCTCCGGGTATCGGATGTGGGTAGGATGGATGTCGGGCAGGACAGAGGGTGCGGGAGCTCCGGGTATCGGATGTGGGTAGGATGGATGTCAGGCAGGACGGCGGGTGCCGGAGCTCCGGGTATCAGATGTGGGTAGGATGGGACATCCAGCACAGAGAGGCTGAGACCTGAGACAGTGGAGACGGCGACGTCCAGGGCAGGAGGTTTACCACCGCCGTGTTTGAAGCCCGGACACAGAATAACTCCACGTGGGGAAGAAAAAAATAAAAGTCACCAAAAAACTGGGTAGAATAGGGATCAGTCGTTTTCTTCAGGAAGTAGAATGGTGTTATTTGCACTTTTATGTTGATGATTTGCTTTCTAATTTTAATGCAATGAAAATGTCTTGTTTGTATAACAAACAAGCTTAAAATTAGGGACAAACATACGGGCTGGTCCTTTCTTAGGTCACAGCAGCCCCAATAACTTCTCTGAAATCAATAAAAACATATTTTTAAAAAAGAAAAAGAAAACCTCCCGGGAACTAAAGGAATGTGCAGATGGAGCCCTGTCCGAGTCACTGGGATGAGCTGGGGGTCAGGGCCCTCGCAGGAGACACGGCGGTTCCTTTCAAGTGCGCGCTCGCTCGCTCGCTCAGGAAACACTCACTCACACGCAGTGTGTTTCGCTCCGAGGAGGAGCAGGGAACCGAAGAGGAAATGGCCTGGTTTCGAATGTCCTCGCTGCTCTTCCCACCCCCCCACCCCACCCCGTCTACTTTTAGCGCCAGAAATGGTTATTAATGTGAGCTCTCTGCGTGGCTGGAATATGGGTCATTTTACTAATTAAGAACAGGGAGAGGGAGTGGAGGGACCGTGTTCGCCGTCTCCTCAGAGGGGCTGACTCCTGTGTGAGACTGAGCTCCGTGTCCTGCTAAGAATGGGCCAGGCTCGGGAACAATCCACTGAAGACCAGGACCTGCTCCCTTTGGGCCCTGAAGCCAAGCGGGCGGCAGCGTGGCTTCGGCGAGAGGAGGACTCTCAGGGCTAAAGGAAGCCTCAGGGTAACTGTAGGTCACTGTACATAAAACCATCACAGAAAACCACAGCAGCCAGGTCTGGGGCTCCCCACGTCGCTCTGGCCACGGACAGGAGCGCCTGCGTGAGAGCCTGGTGTCAGGCGGGGGGAGGGCTGCCTCCACGCTGGGGCTGGGGCCCAGCAGAAGGTCCCACGGGATGAATCTACCACATTCATCACGACAACAGGCTCTGGACCGCTCCCTCTGGGAACTGTCCTGAGAACGTCACACGGCTAACTCACTTCACCCTCCCAAGCACCGGGGGTCGGTGTTATGAGGGTCTGACTTGCACACCTGAAGGGAAACTGAGGCATGGGGATGCTGAGTGCGCCCAGGCCCCTGGCTGGGAAGGGGTGGTGGCAGATGACAGCCTTTTCCGTCCACCCAGGGCTCCTCTGGATGCCACGTGCCTATTCTCTCTGTGCCCTCTTCTCCGATGGGAGCTGGGAGTCATCAGCAACGCTCACTGAGCCACGCACACGGCCCGGCCCCAGCCAAGGCCGGCCCGGCTCAGCAAGGTGCCTTCATGCACAATGAACCACACGACTCCTTCCTGTTCCTGGCTCCCACCTGTGCTAAACCGTTTCCAGGGCTCTGCCTTACCAGTCAGGGATTCGGTAGTGGGACCCTCTTTCAGAGGAAGGGGAAACGACCTAATGACAGCAGAGGGGACGGCGAGGATGATGGGTTGGCAGCAGCAGCTCTTACTCAGTCGTGACTGTGAGCGAGGCCCTGAACCACGTGCTCACATGTGCGGGTCCATTCATTCCTCGTGAGGACCTGACAGTAGGTGCAACTATGACGCGCATTTTACAGATGTTTAAAGTGAGGCTTAGAAAGGCTAGGTCCCAAGGGCAAGACTAGCAAGGAGCAGTTAGAGGACTTCAACCCAGACCTAACCCAGAGTCCACATCTTAGTTTGGATGTCAAAGTCCTTAAAATGGTTACTCAGACACCCCAGTCCTCCGCCGGACCGAGCACCAGCTCCGACCGGAGTCTCAGCCCACGGGCAGCCCCGCCCGCCCTGAGGCCCGCTTAGCCCCGAGCCCACTCCACACCCAGAGCACCGGTGCTCCCACGGTCCACCCGCCCACCTCTGACCTCGTCTCCACCGAGAAAGCAGGCAGCGCACGCGTCCCGACTCAACCCGGGCGTGCTCAGGCTCTCCCGCTGGAAGAGGACACACCCCACCCCCCGGTTCATGGGGCCACAGGTCCCTCAAAGGTCCAGACGCCACACAGGGGACCTGGCTGACAGCAGGCCGTTCACAGCCTCTGCTGCCGGTGCCGCGTCTCCCCGCGCCCAAGCCGGAGGGGATTACGACTTTGCTCTGGCTTCCATGGGGTCGGGTCTGCATGAGCAGGAGCAGCGGCATGTCAGGGGCTGAGTTTACAATGGATGTGTGCACCCGCCACCTGATACCCCACAGGGCTCGGCCTCGACTCACCTTATGGCACATGTAGGAGCCGCCTTTCTTCACCCGGTCCTTCCCGGAGGGGGGGCCCTTCTGTGGGGGGAGGAGAGCTCCTGAGTCAGAGCGCAGCTCCTCTCGCCTCGGACGGAGTCCGTTCAGTCCCACCAGCTCCCTCGGGGTGACCTACACCCCACGTGCACTTCCTCCAGGGCCTTGCGCCTGCACCCCCTGTACCCCCCAAGCCCCCCCCAATTCCCACCATGCTCTAAGGCCCAGCCCCACCTCTCAACCCACAGCACTTTGTCGCTTGTCGCCTTGATGACCGGGACACTGCAGCGGTGCCGGGTGTCACCCCGAAATCACCCCGTGACCCTGCTCCCCCTGATCCACAGTCACCCGCACCCTCACTGGCCTGCTCCACCAGCCGGCCGGCCTCTCTGAACTAGGTCTTCACATCCTACTGTGAGACTCTAATAAACCCTTTGCCGACTGAAGGAAGGAATTTGCTTTTTACTTTATTTATTTATTTATCTATGTATTTTTTTTTTTAAATATATTTTATTGATTTTTTACAGAGAGGAAGGGAGAGAGATAGAGAGTTAGAAACATCGATGAGAGAGAAACATCGATCAGCTGCCTCCTGCACATCTCCTACTGGGGATATGCCCGCAACCCAGGTACATGCCCTTGACCGGAATCGAACCTGGGACCTTTCAGTCCACAGGCCGACGCTCTATCCACTGAGCCAAACCGGTTTCGGCTATCTATGTATTTTTTAAATATATTTTTATTGATTTCAGAGAGGAAGGGAGAGAGATAGAGATAGAAACATCAATGATAAGAGAGAATCACTGACTGGCTGCCTCCTGAGCAAATGCCCTAACCTTGACCTCCTGTTTCCTAGGTCGATGCTCCTGGGCACACATGCTGCCAGGTGAGATCAGAGACGGACTGAGCGTCCCCCTGGGGAAGCCCCGGACTAACTCAAGAGCACCAGGACCCCCCCCACCTCCAGGACCACAGGAGCGCCTGCCCAGCGCCGGGCCTGCGGGCTGTACTCACTGGGTTAAGTGCCTCCTCGGCAGAATGGCGCACGGCCCACCAGTCCGCCGTCCACTCCCACGCGTTCCCCACGATGTTGTACAAGCCGTAGCCGTTGGGAGGAAAGGCATCCACCTAAAGAGACACAAGGGAAACCGCGGTCACGCTCCTCACCTCGCTCAGAAACCTGTGTGTCGCCCTGGCTGGTGTGGTCAGTGGGTAGAGCATCGGCCTGTGGACTGAAGGGTCCCAGGTTCGATTCCGATCAAGGGGGCACATGCCGGGGTTGCAGGCTCCATCCCCAGTGGGGGGCATGTAGGAGGCAGCTGATCAATGATTCTCTCTCATCATTGATGTTTCCTCTCCATCTCTCTCTCCCTCTCCGAAATCTATTAAAAACAACAAAACAAAAAAACAAAGAAACCTCTGTGCACAGAAACACACTAGGAGCTGTAACTTCAAAGTCTGAACACTAATTTTCCCCCAGCAGTCACAATACCATGTGGCCAACGCACAAATGAAAATAAAAGTAAGTAGGAGCCACTTTCCAGTTGGCTCTCCAGGGGAATTCCGAAGCCTAAGGGGAGTGTGCACACATCACACGGGAGGGAAGCCAGCACAGCTATCCGTCATGAGAGACTAGTACTGACCAGAAGTCAGATCTGTATCTGACGGGGAGCAGAACCCACGTTAGACCCACTGTGAGCTGTGCTGGCCACACTGTCTCAGCACTGAGTCCCCACGCCAGCTCTGTCCCCGCAGCCAGCGACACTGACCCCCGTCCTCAGAGTCATGAGCAGAATGGGCGGATGCACCACATGCTAACAGGGCCCCAGGGCAGAATTCCCCTTTGAATTTTCCCCCTTATACTCCTCTTCCACAGTTTCTACAGCAACTATCCCGGAATCAGAAAGGAAACCGCGTTAGGAAAACACTGCCTGGTCGGTCACTAGCGTTCGCTTTGTGCACAGTGGCTGGACGTGGGGCAGCACGCGGGGCGGAGGAGCGAGGCGGTCACCCAGCCCTCATCTCTAGTCCCCGGAGCTGCCGCCTCGTCCGCAGCCTCGCTACTCACGGGCGCGGTGCCGCGGAAGCCGTCCTCGCCGGTGTCGGTCACAGGAAACTCGCCCTGCCAGAGGTTGGCATAGTGCTGGCCCCTCGGCTGCAGTTTGTTGCCCCAGGGGAAGAGTCTGCCAGGAGAGATGCAGGTGTCAGCCGTCAGCCCGGCCACGGGTGTCAGCCAGCCCACGGGCATCAGGTGCCGCACAGGCCTCAGCCCGGCCCACGGGCATCAGCTGCCACACAGGCCTCAGCCCAACCACAAGCATCAGGTGCCGCACAGGCCTCAGCCCGACCACGGGCATCAGGTGCCACACAGGCCTCAGCCGACCACGGGCATCAGCTGCCTCACAGGCCTCAGCCCGGCCACGGGCACGGGATTCTGGACTGAAGTCGCCAGCAGGGACGCAGTGGAAGGGAACACCGCTCGTGTGCTCTGAGTGAGCTATGTGATCTTAAATCCTAAATGTGTAAAAATAAGCAAAGCGTCTACTCAGGGCTTTGTAACTCCCGCACAGCTAGTTCGCGTCCAGGCCCCACCCGTCTCCCTGGGTGCTCCCTGGAAGCAGTCGCGGGACTAAGGGGACTGGCGGAAGTTGGGAGGCGAGCGGGCTGGGCCCACAGGGCAGCGCCCGCACCATGGCTGCTCGTTTTAGAGCAGCGGTTCTCAACCTGTGGGTCGCGACCCCTTTGGGGGTCGAACGACCCTTTTAAAGGGGTCGCCTAAAATCACATATATAATTACATATTGTTTTTGTGATGAATCACTATGCTTTCATTATGTTCAATTTGTCACAATGAAATTGGGGGTCACCACATGAGGAAGTGTATTAAAGGGTCGCGGCATTAGGAAGGTTGAGAACCACTGTTAGAGGCTTCGCTGCTGTAGGAGCTTTTCCCACAGCGAGTTTCCTGGCTCTCGGCTCCTGCAGCAGAGAAAGGCGCTGCTTCCAGAGAAGCCTGAGTAAGAAAACGCCGGCGGCCATGGCCACGAGCCCTCGGAGGCCTGTGCCACGCCAGCCTGGCCTGCAGACGCCATGGATGCAGGAGCCGCCCGCCCCACACCCACTGACCACTGGTCACGTCGCAGTAACCGGGGCACAAGGCAAACCCAGGACGGAAGCCTGGGTGTAGAGCGACTCTCTCACCAGAACCAGGCCCAGATCTGGAAGAAGCCGGCACCGTTTGGGCAAGATGGGCCATACCTGTCGTGCAGGCCCCCGCGGCAGCTGTACTCCCACTCGGCCTCCGTGGGCAGGCGCTTCCCGGCCCACGCGCAGTAGGCCACCGCGTCGTTCCAGGAGACGTGCAGGACCGGGTGGTCCGGCCTGGAGACAGCGAGCGAGGAGGGAGTGAACTGCAGGGCACAGACCAGCTCAGCAAAGCCCAGTCCCCTCCGCCCTCGACACTGACGCGGTCCTGGTCCCCAAGCAAGCCCCCCACCACGGGGTTCTGACTCCCCAGCTCCCAAAGGGTGACAATTCCTCTTAGAAGCACACTCAGACCCTTCATTTCTTCACTGTGCAGGCTCGCCCGGACCCCACGGAGCCTCACTTGGATGGTGGGTGTGAGAGCCTCCCAGCCCCCCTCTAAGGAAGAGGTGCTCCCACTGCAGGGTGCTGTCAGCCCCTTCGGGATTCCCACAGCTGCCTGAGCCAGCTCAGAGCCACCAAGGGCTAACCAGGGCAGGGGCATGACGCCCAGCCATTCCGGCCACCGCAGCAATCCTGTGGACAGCAATCCTGTGGGTCTGTGTACCCCGGGCCCCTGCGGGATTGGGCGGGACTCCGTGGGCCCACATAGTCTTAGCTCCACCCGCCCCCTGCGGCCCCAAGACAAGGCCTATCCTGGGCCCCGTGTCCAGGCCCCAGCCTGCCAACCTGCTCTCCCTGTGTCTGCTGAAGAGCAGCAGCTGGCTGCCCCTCTGGAGTCCAAGTCGTTGTATTTTCTAAGGGTGCAGAGGGTCGAGGGGAAGGAAGTCTGAGAAGACAGGGACCGACATTCCCTGGGCGCTGTTTCGAGTGGCCTGCGCACTCCTAGTCAATTCCTGTACCTCCCTGACTCCTGCAGGAATGCACCCTGACCTCATTCTTCAACAAATGCTTGCTGAGCGCCCATTAGTGCCAGTCGCTGCACGTGGAACTGGTAAGAGAGGCACTTTTCATGGCTCAGTGACTGAGAGTCAACCTAGGAACCAGGAGGTCACAAAGTGATTCCCGGTCGGGGCACAGGCCCGGGTTGTAGGCTCGATCCCCAGTGTGGGGCGTGCAGATGGCAGCCGATCAATGATTCTCTCTCATCATTGATGCTTCTATCTCTCTCTCCCTCTGAAATCAATAAAAAGATATTTTTTTAAAAAAAGAGATGCCCTCTTCTCAGAGGATGGATTCTGGGTAAAATGCAGCTTTCTTCTACCATTAAGTTCAAGACAGATGCTGACTGGGAGCTCAGAGGGCAGTCACCCTGAGAGACCCAGTCCCGCGTGACTGTCCCCTCCCATCTTGTCCCGGTGAGGCTGCCACCCCGGGCTCTGGAGGCCTCCTGCCACTTGCCCAGGGGCTGCGCCCCACGCAGAGCTCCATGTACGCCGGCCCGGCAATGAAGACAATCACCAGGAATGTGGTCAAACCAGGGCTGGGAGTCCCCCTGGAAGTGGGCCAGGAGAGCAGTGTCCTTGGGCCCCGAGCTGCCGCCCTGACCCAGACCTGCTCCCCGGGCTCAGTGCTGCTCTATTTCTGCTGAGATAATTACTTCCTCGCCCCCGAGACGTGCTGGCCCCCGCTCGGCGGAGTTTCAGTCAGCTGGTCGCTCCAAAGTGTGTCAGCCCCGGACGGGGGACAGGAGCCCCGAGCCAAGGCCTGAGCGTGCACGGGGCCACCTGGCCGGACATGCTTCTCCGCAGACAGTGTCCACAGCCCCTCGGAGAGGAGCGGCGGGCAGGCAGCAAGGTAAACCTGCCAGGAGGCGGGCGACTGGCCCGTCAAAGGGGCGCCTTCAGACAGGACACGCGAGGGAGGAAGGCGGCCCCTTAAGGGCCACCTGCGAGCGGTGCAGTGTCTGGGGCCTCAGGGGAACATGCTATTTCCTGCCGCTTCGTCCCACCCACCAGTCCGAGTGCCGGCCCTCCCCCGCAGACGGGCACCGCACTGTCCTCGCAGCAGCAGGGATCTGCCTGGGACCGAAACACGTCGCCGGGGAGAACAGCCCCTCACCTGTGCAGGACAGTCGAGTCGGGCCCCTCTGGGTGTCGCCAGCTGGCGCCTTTCACAGGTAACCACCAGGGAGCAGCCGCCACCTCAAAGCAACCAGAGGAGCCAGGTTAGCAGCGAGGCCGCAGGAAACGGCTCAGCATGCGCTCAAACGCGCCCACAGTCTCCATCCAAACGAACGCCTTTCCCAGGACGTGGGAAATAGACTTGGGTGTGAATAAATCTCTCACAAAGAGGAGCCGTTCATATCATACAGCACGGCGGGGCGAGCACTGCCCCCCGCAGCCCCAGGAGATGCGTGTCATGACGCACCTGTTCCTGAGGTGGCCATGGCTTCCAGCACCCCCACCTGCTGACTTCTCCTGGACAAACCCCAAGTTTACAGTCTCTGAGCGGGGCCTCCTTCTGTAGGGGAGACTCGGCCTGGCCCGTGGGTCTCACGCGGGGTCTGTGGTGGTCCTAGCGGTGCCACCTCCACTCCCCCTGGCGCTGAGGCTGCCTCCTCCGCTCCGGGCCGTGGTGGCCTCTTTGGAAGGGGAAGGTTGTGGCCCAGTGAAAAGTCCCGTCCACGCTAAATGGTGGCTGGTGCGTATGTTTTCTTAGAGCCGCTGACCCCCGGGCACGCCTCCTGCTCCTGGTGGACCTCAGCTCTCCACAGAGGTCCGCAAGGCCATCGCCGAGGTTCGGAGGGGTGATGTCAGGCCGATGTTATTTCTTCACCCAAGTCAGACCTCAGAGGGCCCAGGACTCGAAAGGGCACCCGAGGACACTTGAACAGGGTTCAGATCTGCGGCTCCGGGACCCGCCAGGCCCGTTATCCTGTCCCATCGGGCCCTCGCCTCCAGGGCTATCACGCTTCCTGCTTCCTGGGCAGACGCCACACACCGACTCCCAGGTCAGGCGACACCTGCTCTTTTCAAAGGCAGATACAAGACACGGCCGTGGGACGTGCTCCCTTCTTATCTCATCCAATCAGCCAGCCGGGCCTCCTGAGCAGCTCACTGTGACCCCGCCTCACCCCACACCCAGGCGCACTCTCCCCCCTGGATGGGCCATGCCAGGTCGGAGCCGGCAGCTTTCAACACCAAGTGCTCCGACAGAGGATCCCCGGCGCCTTCCTTCCTGACAAGGACTCACTCATGGCCTGAGTGCCACAGCGCCCCCGTCCCGGGCAGATCTGGCGAGGGACGGGCACTTGGACAAACACCCACATCACGTAAGGGAGATAAACTCAGCAAAGGCAGGCACGGGAGCCATCAGAACCAGCAGGTGGAGGAACCTAAGTCCGGCATGCGAGACAGAGGGCATTTCGGGTGGACGTCCCAGGGCAAGCCGAGCTGACCACACACGGCGAAGGTCTGGTCTGAGCTGGGGACAGGCAGGCCCTGCCAGGTGCTTGGCCTCAGGTGATCCCAACGCATCCCTGCCCGCCTGCAAGGCCCCGTCCTCCAGGGCCTCCTCCTCCCCCAGGTCCTCCCTGACCAGCCCACCCACTCGCTTCCCGGCACCCTGTCCTCGCCGCCCCCTCCGCAGCGCCTGCCTGCGGTGTCCCTGCTGAGACTGCCTCAGCTGTCACTGCGGGCGCCACGGATGCCGGACACTCTTACTCTTCTGAATCTTTTCAAACAGGTGATGCATGTGCTATCAGTTTTGTTTCTAACATTTGATATGAAATATTCATAAATCAGGTAAAAGAAATACAGTAAACTGGGTTCCGGGTCTATGTTGCTGCGTCCCTGGACTTCGAGACTGAGGCCAGGGAGGGACCTCTGTGCCAGTTCTCAGGACAGCACGGCCCTGGCAGACCGTGGGCATCTCTAAACCAAGACGCATTTCAGTCAGAGAGCAAACCTCCAACCCGAGGCAGCCACGCTCACGTCCATCCCCATAGACAGCAAAGCACAGGCCCGAGAGACGGCAGACACAAGCAGGCGTGAACCCAGGCTGGGCCTGTGCGCCGGGTGCAGGGCAGTGCCGCTCACCGCTCAGGACGGCCACCAGTGCTGGACAGCCGGGGCCACGCCGGTGCCGCTGACACGCGAGAGCCGCTTAGGTACTTACCGCCTGCTGGATGCCGGCCTTCACCTGCTCGCTCAGCAGGCCTTCGAAGACGAAAGAGTCGCCGAACTTCTCAGCCTGCGGGGAAAGGGACAGGACCCGGGGAGGGCTGTCATCACGCGTGCCACCCATGCCATTTCTCGGGTCCAGTACACTGAGCTCTCGCCTGACTTCCCAGGGGAAACAGAAATGGCCTGCAGCACCTGGCTTCCTACCCCTGGTGACTGTCACTCAGAGACCATCCCGTCAGGCTCTGCGGCTGACACAAGTGCCGCCGGGGAAACTGGCTTTGGGAAGGTAACTGCTCCTGTGACAGAAAGCCAACCCCAAGTTTTCAGATAGTTTATGACACACTAGCCCAGTGGTCAGCAAATTGCGGCTCGAGAGCCACATGTGGCTCTTTGGCCCCTTGAGTGTGGCCACGAAGTTTCAATCGCACTGTACGTGCACCCGCACGTGGTATTTTGTGGAAGAGCCACTCTCAAGGGGCCGCAGTTTGCCGACCACTGCACCAGCCCCTTTTCATGTGGGATTTCACCAGCAAGCCCTGTCCTTGCTCTTCCCAGATCCAGCCGAGAGCATTAAGTGCAGTGTGCTGATGCCCTGACACGTTCTAAGCCACGAAGGTGTCCACTGTGCTGACAGAGGCCAAGCACCGATGGAATCCGTATCTGACGATGTGTAGTTAACACCACTGTCTGGGTCCCCAACTACCTGCTCACCCTGTGCACGTGACCCTCTCTGCAGGCACACACCTGGCCCTGGCTCTCCTGACGCTACAATCCTGGGTTTCCTCCTCCGTTTCCACTCTTCCTGCCTATCTCCTGAAACACACAGGCTCCTCCTCCAGCCCCCAAACACCGCTGCCCCCAGCCCTGCCCGGCCCACAGCCTCTCGGGCTCCGGCCGTCGAGGAGGCCAGGTGGCTTGTTACAGGGACTGGCTCTGGAGGTCGGGGTGAGGCCAGGAACCTGCACGTGAGAATAGGTCAGCGGCCGGCTCTCCGTCCAGGAGACCACTCTCTGGGACACACCACGTTCAGGGGACAAACTCCCAGTGTCATGGCTTTAATGAAGGAGAGCACCTAGTGCCTCTCACACCTCCACCCCCGGCCAGTGCTGTCCTCCCGAGACACTGCCTGCCGCCTGGGAACCTGTCCCTGCATTTCAGGCCTAACGAGTACCTCCAACTCCTTCTCCTAAAGGAGCTCTTCTCATCACCTTTTCTCAACCCCCACTCTTCCTCCTGGGCTCTGTGGTCCCAATAAGCCCGCGCACCTAAGCCTTCACCCACACCTACCAACACCTACCAGTGCCTGCGCACCTAAGCCTTCATACACACCTATCAGTGCCTGCGCACCTAAGCCTTCATCCACACCTACCAGGTGCCTGCGCACCTAAGCCTTCACAACACCTACCAGTGCCTGCGCACCTAATCCTTCATCCACACCTACCAGTGCCTGCGCACCTAAGCCTTCATCCACACCTACTAGGTGCCTGTGTACCTAAACCTTCATCCACACCTACTAGGTGCCTGCGCACCTAAGCCTTCACCCACACCTACCAGTGCCTGCGCACCTAAGCCTTCATCCACACCTACTAGGTGCCTGTGCACCTAAACCTTCATCCACACCTACTAGGTGCCTGCGCACCTAAGCCTTCACCACACCTACCAGTACCTGCACACCTAAGCCTTCATCCAACACCCACCAGATGCCGGCTTTGGACTGAAGGACAAAGCTCAAGGTCAGTATTAGAGGCGTGGCCCGCCTTCATCGTGCTTACATGGGGGCACAGACAAAAACCAAGCCAAATGAAGAAAATAGTGACAACTTGACTTGACCTTGTAAGGAAAAGAGTAGCGAGAAAGGCTCCTTTCACAGACTGAGCAGAGGGGCCGCCGAGGGGCCGTGTAAGCCGAGATGACTCACGGATGAGAGGCAGCCAGCCACGCACAACAGGGGCAGGCGAGGGGCCAGGAAACTCCAGGAAGGGGGAAACATGGGCCCCTGAGCTGAGAAAGAGGGGCGAGTCATCCAGGAAAAGAAGCAAGAGCAGCCACGAGAGCAGGAGGTGGGCTGGGAAGCAAGGGGGAGGGACAAAGAAACTGGCTAAACCAGGAGGCACTGTGTCCAGAACAGTCCTTAACTCTCCTTGCGTCTGGACCCCTGGGCAGAGTGAAGCTGACAGGACCCCTGCTCAGGGTGACATGTTGGATGGATAAAGTAAAATCAATACGATTACAAAGACAACTAGTTCTACCAGAATATTCATCACATTTGTGCTACAGTAATATATATGTGCTCTGTATTAATATACTAAATACGAGCTCGTGGCAGGTCCAATAGTCATCACTTCTAAGGAGGGGATGAAAGCGAACAATGACACGATGTCTGTAACAGCAACAATGAGACAAAGTGTCTGGTTTCCGTGGGCGACAGAATCACAGGTCCTGCTACTACTGTGGTTGGTCATCTGCTCCGTAACTGAAGGAAACGCGAGATCCCAGGTAGAGGGTAGAAAAGACGCAGGAGTAACTTCCCCATCCAAGTTTCTGGCCGCCCTAAATTCTGCTCCTCCCGTCTTCACGAAGAACCCTGGTCTAAGCTTCCGCCCCTGGGACTCGCCTGCTAACTTCATCGCACTGTGGAGGAACCTGGCCGAGAGCATCCTTAGGCCACAGGAAGCACGGGGTCTCTGCTTCCACAAATAGGCACGAAAAGACACGAGTGCTCTGCCCATTTTAGGAAACGCCCAAGAAGCAGAGCAATGCGAAGCCAAAACTGTATGCTGCTTCGCTGTCGGCATTCACTCTCAAGTTATTTTTAATTTAAAAAAAAGACAGGGACTCCACACACTGAGGGCTAGGGTGGCGTCCTGTGGTGAGAGAGCAGGGAAAACAGGCACCTATTGGACCAGCACCATGGAGACGCTCACAGTAACCCCGCACTGGACAGCCTCCCTGTCCCTCCTCCCAGGCAGGACACACCCGCTCAGAACCTGGCTTCCTGATCCTGAGACCACAGCAGGAGGCCGCTCTGCCAACCAGGGGGTCGCCTACGAGTCACCAGGCACTGGAATAAACCAGGAAAACGCAAAGCTGCCTTTCAGCACCTGTCTCTTGGGAAATAAGTTTCTGAAACAACCAAACTGCAATTTTCTGAGCGGGAAAAGTGGCCTTACTTGACATGTGGTCTGTTATCCCAAAAGACCGGGTGGGCAGGGACGCTGCGCTAACACCGTACAGCAGAACAGCAAAGGGCACAGGCCCTGGGCCACACCAGTCACACTGGCATCCCGGCTCCCACCAACCAGCCTGCGAATCAGGGCAAGTCACTGTCCTAAGCCTCAGTTTGCTACCTTCAAGGTAACCTACCCTCGGGGTTGCTAGGACTAAGTTAGACGCTATGTATGCAAAGTGCTTAGCACAGTGCCGGGCCCACAGGAAAAGTGGTGGGAGAGCAAGCTGTCCCTCCCCACCCTGACCCGTTACCTCGGTCAGGTAGCCGGTGGCGTTCACGAACCTCTCGAAGTCGGCGTTACTGACTTCATAGGCGTCCATGTAGAAGGCATCCACGGTGACTCTCCGGGCGGGCGCCTCCCCGTCCTGCTTGATCTGAGGGTCATCCGTGCCCATCGTGAACACGCCGGCGGGGATGGAGACCATCTGCAGGGAGGGGGGAAGGCGCCCGGCACAGTGAGCCCCCGGGACTGAGCAAACCCCACGGGCGGAAATCACTGTCCAATACACCAAGGAAACGGAAGGACCAGTCACAACAAATGCAAGCTCTTTAGAAAAGGGGTTTCTCTGGTCAAAACTCTACATGTAAACGTGAGGGCCTGCTGTGGAGGCGGGTCTGGCTACAGCCCCAGCCCCAGCCTCAGCCTGCCAATGACTGGAGCGCAGGGTCATGGAGAGCATTCCACGTCAACATATGCGGGCGTTTATCCTTCAGCACCCTCCAGTTTCTTGTGAATTACTGCTAAAAGCAAATGTAAAAATGCCAGACGAAATGTGTTTAAAAACCCATGGCATGAATGCGGGCCTCCCATGAGAATGGAAATGGCTTAAGTCGCTGGGACAGAAAATCTAAAGAGCCTAAGGGACCAGGTCTCCTCCCTATGCCCTTGTCCCAATTATTTCCTGATTGCAGCTCCTTGGATCCCATTATCAACAACCACGGGTTCCTACTTTGTGTTTCCACTGACTGTCTTTGCTAGCCTTCAATTCCGTGCCTGCGTTTCCCAACGAACATGGAACTATGTTCAGTTATGACATGTGGGTCATAAACATCTTATTGTCTTCAGAAATCAGGCCTGACCACTCCAGTCCCCTGATCCCAACAACAGAGGTCACCAGTCCTGCCTGGTCTCCCAAACTTCCATCCCTCCAGCCTCCCCCCTCCTTTAACCCCAGATACTGCAGTCGCCTCACCACTGGCCTCCCTGTCTGGCCTCACCCTTGCTCACACTCCTTGCTCCTAAGCCCTCGCCCCTCCACTCACTCATCCATTCCCCACACCCTGGACCCTCCACTCACTCATCCATTCCCCACACCGGAAGCCCGACCGAACTTCCTGAAAGGCCAGGCTCCCGTCCCCATGCGGTTTAGACAGCTCTGTTTGTAACAGGAAGATTAGCAACCACCTAAGTGCTCATCAGCAGAGAACTAGCCCGGAGAGCAGCTGCTGGTGACCAGCCCTTCCCGGCCCACGCGCTGCGGTGCCAGGGCCACCAGGACAGCAGGTCCTGGCCCTCAGGCTTCTGCAAGAGGGACCCACAAGCGGGCGATCAAGTCAGGGACTCGGAGGCCGGGTTCCTTCAGTCAACGAAGGAGGAACCAGCCCTTCAACCCCACCCCGTGACTTAAAATTCTGAGTATTCATTAATAAGGCAGGGGAAGAGGCGGGAAACGGGGGGTGGGGGAGGATGAGGGGCAGCTGGCCTCCAAGTAAACCCCCGAGCGGCGCGCAGCCCCGGGCCGCGCGGCGGAGCAGCGAGGACGCCGCCTGGAGCCCGGCCGGGAGGGGCGGCGTGGGTGTGGGGGCCACCTTTCCCCGCCCCCCGGCTTGTTCCTGGCGGGCCCCGCTTTATTGAAGAGGGAAGGGAAGGGGAAAGGCGAAAAAAGACCAAGTAAATAGGGTTGGGTCCGCGAAAAAAAATCTCAGTTTTGTTGATAGCACACCCCTTGGGGGGAGGGAGG